CTACTAAGTAGAAAATTTAACGCAAAATCTAAGAGGAGATTATTTATCAAATAATGTGCAAACTTTTAAAGCAGATTTTGAGCGGAAATTTTGTAGTTGCTTTGCTTTAATATATATAGATATAGATTTAAAATTTCATTTATATATGCAGCATACATACCAAAATAAAAATTATATAAAATATTTATGTATTATATTAAATGTGGATATTACATTAGTTATGATTTTTTCTTTTTGACCTTGAAATTTCCCAATATAATCGAAAAATTAATATTGTGTTTGATATTAGACACAATAACAAAATGACTTTAGATAAAAGATAATACTTTACAAACTATTTTAATGGTAATTAATCAGATTGATAATTTGTTTTTATAAGAAAAATATAATATATAAGTAAATGAATTCATACTCACAAACAGGAAGAAAGACAAATAATAAGTGGCATATAAATTGAACTGATAATTCATAATAAAAATTTATGCATAATTTTTAATAAAATTTATAACGAAAAATTATGTCACTCACTGCGAAAAAAATATTTAGTGGAAGTTTGTAATGCACAATCAGAATAACTGATTATGCCTAAAATAAGTAATTATTTGTAACAAATAATTATGACAGTTGTGCATTTTGATATATAATATCTCTATTGTTTCGAAAAAAAAAAATAATTATGACATAAATTGTTTGAATGGTAAATAATACGTAGAAATTAAAAATATATATTTCATGGTAATAGATGTAGTTGAAGCATTTATTTAGCAAAACGAAATTGGAGTGCAAATTCCAATACAATTATTTACATGTAACAAATATTTTTCTTGCTATTTTAATTATATATCATGCATAAATTTTGACAAAATTTAGTTCAATATATTAAATGAAGGTTCGGAGGGAAAAAAAAATTAACTACTCTGCTTTTGTATATATATAAATATAGATTTAAAAGTTTATTTATATATATGCAGTATAGATACAAATAAATAATTATATAAAATATTTATATATTATATTAAATGTTGATATCCCATTATTTATGATTTTTTCTATTTTACCTTGAAATTTCCAAATATAACCGAAAAATTAATATTGTATTTGATGTTCGAAACGAATAAAAAAATGATTTTAGATCCAAAAAATTACTTTAAAATTTATTTTAGTGGTTAATTAATGATATTGATAATTTTTTTTTTACAAGAAAAATAATATATATGGAAATGAATTCATACTCACAAATGGGAAGAGAGATAAATAATAAGTGGTGTATTGAAATGAGAATTAATAATAAAATTTTTGTATAATATTAAATATTATTTATAACGAATATTATGTCACTCAGTGCAAACAAATATTTAATGAAAATTTGTAATGCATATTCACAATATCTTATTATGACTAAGCAATTATTTGTAAGATATTGTTTAAATGGTAAATAATATATAGAAATTAACAATATTTATTTCATGGTAATTAATGTAGTATAAGCATTTATTTAGCAAAGAGAAATTGGAGTGCAAATTTCAGTACAATTATTTCCATGTAAAAAATATTTTTCTTGTTATTTTAATGACATATCATGTAAATATTTTGACAAATTTAGCTCAATCTATTAAATGAAGGTTTGGAGGGAAAACAATTTTTTTTTTAGTTGCTCTGCTTTTGTATATATATAAATTATAGATTTAAAAGTTCATTAATATATTATATTAAATGTGGATATCATGTTAGTTATGATTTTTTTCTATTTTACCTTGATATTTCCCAATATAACCAAAAAATTGATATTGTGTTTGATGTTGGAAACGAATAAAAAATTGACTTTAGATAAAAAATATTACTTCAAAAATGGTTTTAATGGTTAATTAATGATATTGATAATGTGTTTTTATAAGTAAAAAATATAATATATAAGGAAATGAATTCATACTCACAAACGAGAAGAGAGACAAATAATAAGTGAGATATTAATTGAAATGAGTATTCATAATAAAAATTTATTTATAATATTAAATATTATTTATAATGAAAAATTATGTCACTCACTGCAAAAAAAATATTTAATAGAAATTTGTAACGCGTATTCACAATATCTCATTATGAATAAACTAAGTACTTATTTGTAACAAATAATTATGATATTGTTTGAATGGTAAATAATACATAGAAATTAACAATATTTATTTCATGGTAATCGATGTAGTTGAAGCATTTATTTAGCAAAGAGAAATTGGAGTGCAAATTCCAATACAATTATTTACGCATAACAAATATTTTTCTTGTTATTTTTATGATATATCATGCATAATTTTGACAAAATTTAGTTCAATCTATTAAATGAAGGTTTGGAGGGAAAACAATCTTTTTTTCAGCTGTTCTGCTTTTGTATATACTAGTACGTGACCCGCGCGTTGCGCGGCTTGACATTAAAAATAATTTGGGTGAATTATAATTTGATATACATAAAACATGTATAGAGTTAATAAAAAGTAAGATAAATATTTTATTTAATATATTCAAGATATTCTCATGAATATAATCTTAGTAATCGATGAACTGTATTCATTATGACCATTATCATAAATAATAATCATCAAACAACTGGAATCGGTGACTCCGGAAAACAACATATAACTGATTGTGAGTACAAAATACCATATGTTTTTTTTTTTAAAAAATATAATTAACTTAAAATAATAATTTATGATATTCAACGAAAAATATTTTTCACATTAATTATACTCCTTGAAACTTCATCATTCTCGCATAATAAAGACATTATTACTATTATATAGGTAAACTGATATGAAATAATTGAAATAAACATGTAGAAATATGATCCAATTAAAAAATATAATTTGAAAAAGTAAAATAAAAAACAAAATGACTCAATTGAACTGCATGTTTCAAATTAGGTCCACATATTTTTCTCTCTCTCTTTTTTTTTTAAATTATCTAAATAAATTTTAGTAATATTTTTCATACTGACATGCAAGATGGATCACCTTTTGCAAACTTACAAATAGGCACAGTAATTGTTAATATTCACGTCAATAACAAAGTTATTTATTTTTTGCGTGCAATTAATGTGAAATAAAATTTAATATAATTTTTGGAAGTGAATTCATAAGATAAAAAGAGTGTGCGGTGGTAGAATTCTCTGGAATAAGAGCGATCTTCTCTTCCCTAAGAGCTTCACTCCTTCGAATGCAGGCCTTCTTCCCTTGTGATGAGGGGATTTTAGTTTTCTCTGTCGATCATATCACGTCATCAAAACCCCTTTCTCCCTAATTTCTAGCATCTGCCAATTTGTGACACACATCATCCCCACGTTATCAGACTTCTTCAACACCAGCCTAGCTAAAATCGCATTTAGCTATGGCGGAAGACCTCTCAGCAAAATTCGAAGCATGTCAACTGTCAGAGCAAGAAAGTACCATTATCCCTATCGAATCAGCGGATATAGCACAAAGTGCGGAGGACTGCAATACGAGCCTCCTGGGGAAAATAGTGGGACAAAAACGAGCAAGCCTTATAGGAATTAAACGTGCTGTTAATCAAATGTGGAAAACCAATGCCCCGGTGATGGTCAGAGAAATAAGCCCTAATTTTTTTCAGTTTCTATTCTCTGATAATCTGGATAAAATTAAAGTCCTTAAGGGGCTAAACTGGACTTTTGAAAACCAAATCCTTATCCTTAAGGAATGGGCACTTGATTTGTCATCAAACCATCCTATCTTCAATGATCTGGAAATTTGGGTACAAGTCTGGAATTTGCCTTTGAACTGGTTCTCGACAGATGTTGGGCTAAAGCTGGGGAAAATATTTAAGCAGGTTCTAGACGTAAACGTTCCAAGCAGAGGATTGCTAGCAGGCAAATGCATCCGTCTAAAGGTTATAATGGATGCGATGCAGCCACTCATACGATGCGCTAATCTGCAGATGGGGGATAAGAAAATTCTAGCCCAGTTTATATATGAAAGGCTAACCAATTTTTGCTTCTACTGTGGGTGACCGGGACATTTAGACAGATCATGCGACAAGAGGGAAGAAGACATAAACAAAAATTGTTTGAAAAAAGGTTTGTTTGGAAGTTGGCTAAGAGCAGCAGATAAAACCACCTCCCTATTCTCTTCCACTTTGGATAACCCCATCCCTATCATTTCAGCACCATCATCAACAAGCCAAAACCCCTGCCCCAACACAAAAAGTACTCAAGCTTTTCCAGGTATAACCACCAATGATCTTGAATTACCTAATAAACAACCCACCCAAAGCTCATCAAAAATCACACCTTCTTCTGAAGCTTCTGAAACTGGTACACCAAACCCAATAACCAATAACCATATCCTACCCATGGAAACTGAAGAACCACAATCTGCACTTCCCCTTCAGACTGCAAACCAAGAGATGAACTCCTTACCCAATCCTCTACCTGATAACAAACCCCTAACCTCTAAATGGAAGAGAAGGGATACAACAAGGAAAATTGATGGCCAGCCATTAGAAGCAAACTCAGGGATCAAAAGAGCTCTTGATCAATTGGAAGTCCCAAACACCAGCTCTTATCCGCAAGAACCCCACAGTGAACTACTACCTAAAAAGCTTAAGCTATCAGATGCAATGGTGGAGGAGGCCAGCCATAAATGGCCCCAATCTCCAAAATGAGAGTTGCGGTGTGGAATTGTAGAGGTGCGGGTGGCCCCTCTACAATTCCCCAGGTTAAGGAGATATGGAAGCTCCACCACCCAAGTTTTCTATTTTTATCAGAAACAAAAAAGAAAAATGGCTTTATCAAAACAGTATGTAGAAATCTGGGAGTGAGTAATAGTTGGACATATGTGGAACCGGTGGGCAAAAGTGGAGGGCTTTTGTTATGTTGGAGCCAATCTTTGCTGGTCTTCACCATCATTAAAAAATCATTCAGTATAGAGATTGAGTTCTGGGAAGAGGAAAAGCAATTGATATGCTGGGGAATATTTGTTTATTCAAGTACAAATGGAGAGGAAAGGAAAGCACAATGGGACTATCTAATTTCCAGAAGAGCCACATGGGGAAAATTCTGTTTTATAGGAGGAGACTTCAATGACATCAAAATGCCTGAAGAAAAAAGAGGTGGTATCCAAAGATCAATTGCATCCTGCTGCAACTTCAAAAACCTCATCAACTCAATGGAAATGATTGAAGTCAGCTGGCATGGATATCGATTTACATGGGCTAACAATAGAGAAAATGAGGGGTTTGTTGAAGCCAAACTAGATAGGTTTTTCTTCTCAATTGACTTGGCTGAAAAGTACCCCAATGCTCAAGCCATTAACATCTTTAGGAGTGTATCTGACCATAATCTCATTCTTCTGAATTGCAACCCTGAAGTTGGAAGGAAAAAGAAAACTTTTTATTTTGACAGCAGGTGGTTAAAAAGAGAAGGTATTGAAGCAGTCATTGATAGAGCCTGGAACAGCTTTCACCATGGCACTCCTATGTTCATCCTGAAATCAAAGATCAGAGATACCAGAATTGAACTCCTAAAGTGGAGTAGTTCTTTCAAGACAGAGAATATAAAGAAAATTGAAGCATTGAACAAGCAGCTCCTGGAAATGAGGGAACATGGTGGGCTAAGGGATTGGAGCAAATGGGACCAGCTAAAAAAAGAACTAGACTTGGCCTACAAATTTGAAGAGAGATACTGGGAGCAGAAGTCAAGAATCAGCTGGTTAAAGAATGGAGATAAAAACACAAGATTTTTTCACTCTCACACCCTCATGAGAAGGAAAAAGAACAACATTGTGAAGCTAATCAGGGATGATCAAACCAGCTGTGAAACACATGATGCCATCTCACACTGCATTGAGGATTTCTATGCTGACCTATTTACCTCTGAGGGCTTCTCTGATGAAGATAATATAATGCAAGACCTCAAAAAGGTAATTCCAAATGAAGTGGATGCTGAGCCGATAGCTAAGGTGGACCAGGAGGAAATCAAAAAGGTTCTGTTCAATATAAATCCACACAAAGCTCCCAGACCAGATGGTATGACATCTACTTTTTTTCAATCTTTTTGGAATGTGGTGCACCCTGATCTTTTGTAAAGCTATTGAAAGTTATTTTGAGTCGGGCAGAATGTTGAAAAGCCTAAACCATTACCTTATCACTCTAATACCCAAATGCCCCCACCCTATTTCTATGGCCAACATCAGACCCATTATTTTATGTAATGTGGCTTACAAAACTATTTCTAAAATTTTGGCAAACAAGATTAAAGCTTGCCTTCCCTTTTGTATTAGTCAAAACCAGTCAGCTTTTGTAGCAAACAGGCAAATTTTAGATAATGTCATCCTAGCCCATGAAGTTGTGCACTTTTTGAAAAACCACAGAGTTGGCAAATTTTGTTATATGGCTATAAAGCTAGACATGGAGAAAGCCTTTGACAGGGTGGAATGGGAGAGTGTGAAATTAATTTTGCTTGCTCAGGGTTTTCACACTACTTTTGTAAAATGGATTTTGGGATGTATTTCTTCTCCTTCCTTCTCCTTTAATGTTAATGGGAAAGCTTGTGGATATGTTATTCCTTCGAGAGGATTAAGGCAAGGGGATCCTCTATCTCCTTACCTCTTTATCATTATAACAGAGATCCTCACACACCTTATCAACACTGAAGTCAGCAAGGGCAAGCTACATGGTATTAAATTGGGAAGATACTGTCCATCCATCACCCATTTGTGTTTTGCAGATGACACTTTAGTCTTCCTTAGAGTTGATTTCTCTCATGCTCGCATTTTGTTCAGCATCCTGGAATCCTATAATAAGCTCACAGGCCAAAGAGTTAACATGTCCAAGTCATCAGTCTTTTTCAGTAAAAATACTCCCATCGATATTCAAGTTGGCATTTGTAATACTCTTCTGGGTATTAAATTTGTCACCTCTTCTATATACATGGGCCTCCCACTAGGTATAGGAAAATATAAAAATGCCACTTTTGCTTTTGTGGAAGAAGCAGTTAACAAAAGCAATGGATGGCAAAACAAAGCTCTTTCATTTGCAGGTAAGGAAGTTCTAATAAAGGCAGTTTTGGGAGCATTACCAACCTATGTATTCTCATGCTTTCTTATGCCAAAAACAGTCACTGCAAAAATCTCCAGTAAAATTGCTGACTTCTGGTGGAGAAACAAAGGCCAAGATTCCAAGGGAATTCACTGGAAATCATGGGAGGTCATCACTCTGCCCAAAGATAAGGGAGGGCTTGGTTTCCATGATCTGCACCTCTTCAATAAGGCTTTGATCTCCAAGCAGATATGGAGGATGCTCTCTCAGCCTAACCTATTGGTAAGCAAAATCCTAAAGGGCCTATACTTTCCTAAAAATGATTTTTTTTCTATTAAGGCCAAGCAAAATAGCTCATGGATGTGGAAGTGCTGGCTCAAAGTGAGGGACTCAGTTCAATGTGGGCTACTATATGAAATCTCAGATGAAAAATCCACCAAAATCAGAGGCCAACCATGGATTCCTACTCTCCAAGGATTCAAGCTTTCAAGCAACAACTCCTTACATGATGACATTCACTGGGTCAGGGATCTCATGGATAGCTCTGGCAGGAGATGGAACAGACAACTCATAATAGAGAACTTTGAGCAACATGAAGCTGCAACAATTTTAAACATCAAGGGTTTAGACCATTCAAAGCCAGACAGATTAAAATGGTTGTGGAGTAAAAATGGGAAATTTTCTGTGGCATCATCTTATAAGCAGCTCACCAATATAAAATGGAGCAGAATGGACATACCTGAAGGAAGCCACAACCAGAAAAATCTCAGAAGAGCTAGAAGGAGGATATGGCATCTGAAAGTCAAAGGAAAATTAAGGCACTTCCTATGGAAATGCTTTAATAACACATTGCCTGTTTTGTGTAATCTGTCAGCAAGAAGAATTGATATTGACCAGGTTTGCAAGCTTTGTGGTGAAGACTTGGAAACTCAAGAACACTTGTTTTTCTCTTGCAAAAGGGCTGTAATGATTTGGAAGCTATCTCCAGTTCACTGGGAAGGAACACAAGAGCAAGGTATCTCCTTTAAGACCTGGTGGATGCACCTCAGCACTCTTCCATATAATCCAGTCTCAGAGGACAGATTACAACTATCCACCTACATCTTATGGTGGATCTGGAAAACGAGAAATCTGTGGATTTTTGAAAAGGGGTTAAGGCCAGAGAAAGCAACTGTGGACATAGCTTGGAGGGAGTGGTCAGAATTTGCAAATATTAGGACTTTGTGATTAGTTTTATCTGTTTTACTTTCTGTTATTTCCTTGGATGTAGTAGGATTTTGTTAACAAACTAGGCCCTTGGGTGCAGTGGTTTGTTAATTTTGATTTAATGCTCTTATGGAGATTATAATCCTGGGAGCCATTACCGGTTTGGATCAAGTCTTCGGTTTCAGAGCATATATGTCTGCCGGAGATTGTTCCAAACTGTTTTTGTTATTTAGGAAGTCATCTTCCTCTGTAGTTCTCTGTGTAGCCAGTTGGCCATTCGAACATTTTATTTTATTGAGTTATTAATATAATCCTGTCGTTTCGGAAAACAAAAAATCATAAGATAAAAAAGAATACATACAAAATACACTATATATATTATAAAAAAGTATATTATTTTTATAAAACTAATATTTATGATATATGATAAGAAAAAAGTAGTTGATGTATTATAGTAAGCCTTATTGAATTTTATTGCAACAAATTAGTAGCGATATTATATTAGCATCATTCTCTTAACAAAAACATGTGTTATAATAACAAAAAATTAACAATAATTAATACATTATGCCATATTTATTTATAAAAAATTATAGTTGCATAATTATGAATAAATAAATTAATTAAAATGAGGGCAATCACTTTAATCACAGCCATTTAAATGACCTCAGATGTCTGTCTCAATAAAAAATGATATCGACTAAAAATAAATAAATTAAAACAACTATTTATTTTAAGCTCAACCAATTCAATCAAATGAACAAAAA